ACCTTGACTATGGTGGAGGAGCTCGGGCAGGAGGAGGAGGAAGAAGGGTACTAGGAGAAGGGATCGCCATGGGTACTTACCTGGCTATGGTGGATGCCATCTTCATCACCCTTGTGGGCGCTGCATCTTCTGGGGTAGAGCTGCATCAAGAAGCTTTAGAGTCAGGCATGGCGGCCTGAGTGGAAGTGGCCATCGCTGCTTTGCGTTGTCTCTTGCACGCCAGGGCAAGGCCCTAGTAGTCCGCCATAGCCTCGGCCTAGATGAAGAGGAACGAGAAGGCGGCCATTGCTATGGTGGACCTCAAGTTGTGCTGGCAGTAGAAGAGGGATTCAGACCAGGGCTGGTCCCTGGATGGACCGGGGACCCGTACCCCATCTGCGGTCCTCCCGGTTGGACCGGCCGGTGGCCCGGGCCGGTTCCCTCCTGGTTGCCCGCAGCGCATTTTCGCTGGCGCCTGAATTTATTTTTTGTCGGCGCGTATGTGCTTCCGAGGCCTTGTGGGGGTGGGCCCTGCCCCGCAATTTCGGAACCGGTTCCTGTAGGCCCGGATTTTTCAAGGCCAAAAAGTGGCCAATCTTGGCCGCTGATCGTCGCAGATGAGCGGCAAAGATCGGCCAGGACCCTGGTTCTTAAGAAAAACGGGCAGAGGATATCCGCCGCTGATCTTTGCAGATCAGCAGCGGAGAACCGCCACACATTTTTCTTAAGATGTGGGTCGGGTAGGCCCCTTCTCCAATTTGTCATCTTGTGGTCCAACGGACCAGTTACCATTGGCAACATCTGATGCTCTTTCACCCTCAGCCACAAGGGGAACACTATGCTTGTGATGAGGCTCTGCTGAGATTGTATCCTTCTGAAACGTCCCTGCCATCTGTGGAAACATCTGTGGAAAAAGTTATGGGTTTGGATTTTGGAATCGTGATGTCAGAGCCGTCCGAGGTGCAAGCCCAAGAATGGACCTAAGATATATTCTTCTCGTTGCTCCACTACATGTATCTGGACAGACTGCCAGGCAAGATACTTCCAGACTGATAACTCACCTTATGTAGAAACCAACAAACAGAAAACGCTCTGCCTCCACGAGCTGAAAGCTGGAACCATAACTCTTCTGCTGTCGAGTTATACTCTGGAAGAGCTATAACCTCTGGCAAGGACCTCCTCTTATTATATCTGGCTCAGCTCGTGGGGTATCAATATCAAATGACACACTCCACGAAGTGCTCCAGCCACCGGGGGGGTTGGATAAGTGAACTTGCTTACTTGACCCCTCCCCGTGGAAGCCATAGTTGCCTGAATATCTCAATAATAACCCCCTGGCCCCCTCTGGAAGCCCCCTGAAAAATATTGCACCTTGAAAATTTTATTGCGGATTCCGACAGCTCTTGAAGAGCGCAGTCGGAATCTGCCGGAAAAAAAAAGAAAAAAAGTATTTGGGCACTTTTTTGGCAAAAAAAAAGAAAAAAAAAGAAGATATTTGGGCACTTCTTTTTCAAAACTGGTTTCCCGGTTCACCCTCCCTGGCCTGGTCCGGCTCCGGTTGGACCGGGGTAGCTCAACCGGCCAGTTGCCGGCCCAGCATTGATTCAGACGTTGATTCTGGTTCTGCCATTCATCATTGTTATTATTATTTATTGTTTGAATAAGAGGGGAGGATAAAAGGAGGGGTTTGGTTGGCGAGAAGAAGGGGAATTATCATTGGTCTTTTGCTGGTGTACATCTTCTTCTTCTTTCCCTCTCTCTCCTCTCAAGTCTATTCACTTCTTTTTGATATTGGACGGCATTGAAGGGCGATGGTGGATTGTGTTCGCACATTCCAGATTTTTGTATTGGTACATTATGTCCTCGACGAGAGTAAAGCCTCAGATTTTGTGGTAAACCATATGATTGAGTTTCATCTTTTCCAGCTTTTGTGAGATGCGCTTTTGTGTGGCACGCGTCGAGCCCACATAGGACCTCTGGGCCCGGCATTGGACCAGTTTTGGGCCCTGGGATGCATGGACTGCATTTGGGCACCTCGCAGGGCCACAGCCCCTTCTTTGGCCTCCTTGAGGCCCAGGTGGTGCGGGGTTATTTTATGGTGTGTTTTACTTATTTCTTTGTCTGTTTCCTGTTTTGTCCGGTCTGGGATGTGTCGTCTGGACCTTTGTCCTGGTCTGGGCCGTTTTTCAGGCCCAGCATCGGTTTCTTAGCCCTGCAGCACTTGTTTTGGGCTGAACCATTTCTGAGGTTCAGCCCTGTTCGTCCATTTGCAGGACTGGGTGCAGGCCACGCTCTTGGCCCAGTTGCTGGACCATTCCCATGGCCTGCATCTGGACCGTCTATCGCTTCATAGATTGGACGGCCCTGGATCCAGGCCACCCTCATATCCAGTAGGCCCAGCGCTGTATGTAGCTGGGCCCAGTCTAGTGAGGTATGCAGTGTTTGGAGGTCACACTTCGGCCTAGCGGAGCAGGAGATCAGCGGAGACTGGGTTGGGAAGGACTCATCTGGGAGGCCATTGTTTCTCCATCACTGTGCACAGGACGCCGTTCGCACCTGCAGCACTGACAACTTCATCTTTCGCTGGTCAGTATCTGGTAAGAGAGAGAGAGAGAGAGAGAGAGAGAGAGAGAGAGAGAGAGAGAGAGAGAGAGAGAGAGAGAGAGAGAGAGAGAGAGAGAGAGAGAGTTGGCGGCTATCTTCAGGCTATGCCAAGCTTGGACATGACATTGGGACTGGACGAGATCAGAGACTTGGCGACTATCTTCAGGCTATGCCCGCACTTGACTGGGGGATTGTGAGAGATTCTTACCATTGGGCAGGTACATTGAATTGCGGTCTCTTCTTCTTTCCACTATCATCTCATTCTGCACCTCCGTCGTCTGTCAGATTAGCTTGCTATGAGTGTGGGGCAAGGCGGCCCCTTTCTTCTGCGTGTGAGCCCCCCGTGCCCATTTCCCTGTTTGATGATGTATGTCTATGTCATGTCCAGAGTTGGATGAGTCAGATCTTTGCATTTTCAGTTCTCCACTGCATCACATTGTTGTTTTCTCACACTTTGGGGATTCCTTGGGCCCACACCATGCCTATCTAAAGATAAGCATGCAACATTTTATCAGTTGTATGTCTAAGGATGCGTCCTTTCAGATCCTTGATGTCCAAACGGACATAAGTGCCTGTTCGGACCAGTGGTAGGTCTGGTTCACACGATTTGGCCATTTTTTTGAGGCCATAATAGACTTGGTCTGTATTAGCCTATTAGGGCTGGACCCTTTATTTGCCCTGCAGTGCAGGTCCGGTCCTTGGCCATTCTGGGCAGGCTTAGGTGTGCCTGGACATCCAGTCGGGAACCAAGCCGTGTTTTCTTCATCCTGGGCCTTTGGAACATGTTTATGGCCACTCTCTTGAGCCATCAGGTCATGATAGATCTAATGGTCCAGGACGGCTACCCCCAGATGACCTAGGTAGCCACCCAGCAGCATGTACCTGGGCTGAGGGTAGGCCAGGGGACTGGAGTTACTTCATCCGGTGCCAGGCTGCTGGAGAGCAGCACTAGAGTGTTAGTTGTTTAGCTGTAATCTTGTAAACAGTAGGATGGAGGACTGGTGAGAGTGGAGGTCTACACCCAGCATTGGACAAAGGAGGCTCCTTTCCTCAGTCAGTTTTTAACTTTTTTGTGGAATTAGGGGCAGGTTGCACTCTACAGGACAGGGAATTGAGCTTGAAGAAAGTTAAAACTGCATGCTGTCGTCCTTTGGGACATCTGTTAAAATTGGAACGATACAGAGAAGATTAGCATGGCCCCTGCGCTTCCAAGGATGACACACATAAATCGAGAAATGGTCCAAATTATATATTTATATACACCTAAAGCAAATAGGGGGCCTCGCGTGATGGCCCCCCGTCGGGCCCAACAGAAACAGGGGGCGGGCGGACTGTCGGGGCACCCGGAGTACCGCATTTGTTCCGGGATGTTTTGATTTTTTTTTTCGGGTCTGGAAGGTTCGTGCTGGCGCCACATTTCCTTTTTGTTTTTCTGCGCGTTGTTCATTCTCTTTTTTTTTTCATTTTCTCTTTTTTTCATTCTCATTTTGCACATGGGCATCAGGCTGCTTCTTCGTTTTTTTTTTTTGTTTTTGTTTTTTTCTTGTCGCTGTCAGGTCCACAAGCGAATTGGTTCAGCGCTCCGAGTCGTATGCTTTTTGAGTCCCCGGCCGCGAGTTCAAAATATGGCCGCGTATTTTCCCATGATCTAGCAGGTTTGGGGTCATTTCTTGCCCCCCCCCACCGTTTTCATTCAGTTCTCGCAGCCTTCCCCTCCCGCACTTGGATCGCATCACCCGTCTCCCTCGTGTGGTCTCCATCGCAGCCTCCCCGGCATTCGAACACAAGTCCACAGGCGCGTCGTCGCCATCCTCACATTCGAATACGTCCCTCATGAACGAGAAACGAGAATGAATCTTTCTCTGGAACATGGGAAGATGCACTGCCATATCAACCAGGCCACAGAATATAGCTCAGCCTGTCAGGTGCGGCCTGGCTGTGGCAAGGAACAAATTGTCCCTCATGTTGCAATGAGTTTTTTTCAGTCTCCCTCGTGGTCTCCGCCGCGTCTGCGGTGGGCATCCACTTGTATATATAAAATACCTGCAGTGCTGATTTTGGCAGGGGTTCAATAAACCCTCCCTTTAAAAGGGAGTAATGATGTAATCATCAATGCCACTGTCTCAGGGTCCTTCAACCATAACGGAAGGAAGCGTAAGCGTTGTGTGAGTCAACAATGGAAGGGAGGCTGGACCCGGTTTCCAGCACTTCAAATAAATTTTGTTTAAAGTTTAAACTGTAAACTTGTGTAGAAGGAAACAAGAAAAACCCTGCTGTGTTGAGAATTCAAATTAATAAAAAAAAAAAGGAAAGGAAATTTAGGAAAACAAAAAAAATTCATTTAATTCAAATTAATGATCATAATTTATTAATCACTTGTTCCTCCCTTTGTGGGCTTTTGAGTGTGGTTGTTTCAGGCCATCTGATCCGTACGAGTTTGTAGGGCGATATATCCTGGACAACAAGCCGAGATAACAGGGGGTAATCTGATGGCATAGCCAAGGGAGAAGAGGGTACCTTATCTTCTTATCTCTGCTGACCTGGCAACCATCCACAGTCTATACACCTCATAGACCTTCAGAAGGCTGCCACGTCAGCCACGGGTGCTGCCTCGCTGTGGTGGTTTTCTCAAGGTTCCAATCTGCGCACGAATCGAGGTCACCGTGGCAGCGCCAAGTGTCGCTGCCACATCTTTATCAGTCTACACTACACAGTCTTTATACACCTCATGGACCTCCAGAATGCTGCCATGTCAGTGTCACGTCTACATCTCGCCTCAATGCATAGAACCTGGGGGTTGCAATTGCAAACTGGAATTTGTCAGGTCTCCAATCTGTGTATGAATCGAGGTGGCAGCGCAAGTGTGGCTGCTGGACACATTCAACCGCTCTGGACAACGAGAGGGTTCTTCAACACAAAAAATACTGGAGAGGACCGGGCCAGCACCATGAGCGGGAGGGACAGCGTGGAAATGGGAAAAGCCTGCAATCTGCAGCCGGGGTAACCCCAACGTTCACACCAAAAAAAAGGGCACAATATGGCAGAGAACAGGACAGCAATCGAGCATCTGCCACAGAAGTACTATAGAAATGAATTGAAAAGATCAATCAATTTCATTGTCAAATATCACAACAATTAACTATGAATAGCATTGCTCGCGTCGTTTGAACTGATGAATCATCTGAGTGAAAGGTAGATAATGTGTGTTCATCATCTCTTCGTTGCACTGACGAGTCATGAATGAGAACTGGAAGTGAAGAGGGGCAGGACTGGGGGATAGGGTTGTTATAGAGATCGGATTGCATTATCTCAAGGATGTAGCAGTAATATCGTTCGAAGAAAGGAGGGGGTAGAAAGGAGGGTGGGTCAAGCAAGGGGTGGGTGAGGAGGGGGGGGGGGGGGGGGTGTTCTAGAAGGGGTCCTTGTGTGTGTGACCTTTCACCTCTTGGGGTGACATGTGGGAAGCATTGCATAATCTTGTGCTTTGTGGCAGTATCCCCTCTCTAAGACACGTAGCTATCTATGGCAGATGGGGATTACAAGCATGATGGGATGGGGCAGGGAGGGTGAGGGAAAGGGCCTCTGGAAAGAGGAGGACTTTATGTACCCCCCCCCCCCCTCCTCCCCCATCTTGGACCCCTAGTGTTCCGTGAAGGAGAACTTGGGATTACTGCAATGTGGAGATGATCGATGGTAGATGGGAAATGCAAAAAAAGGCAGAACCGAAAAAGATAGCAAAAGAAGGGAAGAGCAGATAACAGTGGGCACTGGGCAGTGATGCGAACAATTGTGTTCTTTGTTTTTTTTTTTCCCCTTGTTTTTTTTTCTCCCCTTTCCTCTGCTGCTAGAGGGAAAAGAAGGGCCGAACAGAAAACAGGGGGTAGTGACGGAACTGTCTTCTTTTCCTTCTTTCTTCTGGAATCTGAGGATCTTCTCCAGCAGTGTAGAAAAGCTGGCAGATCAGATAGCACTCATATTTTAGCAGTCAGGATGCACAATGGTTGTTTGTCTTTTTCCCTGTATGCACAAAGTTAAGTTGGTTGTTTGTCTTTTCCCAGCTAGTAATCTCTATTATAACTTAGTATTAAATTACTATTCAGTTATTATTGAGTGATGTTAATTTAACTTAATTATTTATCTGCTGAAAGTGTTGGATTTCTACATTGGGTTACCTCTCTGCTAAGTCTTGTGGAATTGCTGGACTTCAACAATATTAGAATTTAGAACTTTTTGAGTTTTTTACTCTTCTTAGAGTGTTGAAAGTTGAAACCTTTTTTTTTTTTTTTTTTTTTTTTTTTTTTTTAAGTGGGACGATGCTCCAATCTATTCGTGGGGAGCAACACGGCTGGGAACGGGGCCCAGCGTCCCTTATCAGAATACGAAAATGAACTACCGGCCCTAGTACCGGGGCCATTACCCGGCTTCGGCTAAGAACAATTAAAGAAAAAGGAAAACTCAGAAACATTCAGAGAATGTGTGTCAACAAGCCTCCCAACCACGAATCAGATAGGTGAAACCTAATCAATCCACCTTCGACCACCACCAGCATGGCTGTTTTCAGCACGAACCGAAGCTCTTCCAGGCGTCATGCTCCCATCAGGTTAGGTTACAGAGTTGCACCACCTTGCTCCAGCACCAGCCAGCATTGAAACCAGTTTTTCTCTTTTTTTTTTTTTGTCATTCAAGAGTCAAGCCAGGCCCTTATGGTCTCCTGGTTGGCACCTGTTACCTCAACCTTGAGGGTGAATGGTGCACAGCACTAGCTGCACTACACACATGAAACTGTTAATAATCAGATCAAGATCAAGATGAATAGTTCAAATCCTGACACCGCCGGTAAAGTTATGGGTTAAACAGTTTTAAACCTCATTGCAAAAAAGAGAAAAAGGTTTAGAGAAATTAAGATGAGTTTATTCAAGTTTATTGAACTCGATTCTGGGTTATTTTTGGCCTTAGTACTTCAGCCTATCTGTTCTTGGTTTGGTTTTCGACTTTTAAATGCTGGGTTTATAAGGTTCTTTTTCTTTGGGGGGGGGGGGGGGGGGGGGGGGTTGGTTTTAGAAGTTTAACTACGTTAAACTGTAAGGTTTGGGGAAAAAAGAGAAAAAAAGAAAGAAAAAAAAACTCTGAGAGGTTTGCAACTTTGGGTTAGGCCTTCGCAGAATGAATCAAAAGGTTGTGGAACATTCGACGGCCGCACGTTGCAGTTATAGAACGGACGATGCCTCGGTGGCCTGGGGATGGATGAAAGGCACGCTTATGTATGAAAGTCGAGCAACTACCTGAGAGTGTGAAAAACTGTTAAATACGATGTTGTTTTGCAATGGTCGTCTCCTCTCTGTAGTGGACAAAGGGGAACAGCGATTGCAATGAAGTTGAACCGACAAATGTAGAGGACTGGTATTCATTCTGTGAATATGTGCTTCACAGCCATCAATTGTCCTGCTCCTTGCACTGTCTCATACATGCATGTACATCCTGCCTCCTACCTCACAAATTTGAGTGTGTGCATGTGTGCGTGTGTGCGCGCGCGTGTGTGTGTGTGTGTGTGTGTGTGTGTGTGTGTGTGTGAGATGATGTGAGTGTATAGCTCCAGCACATGGCTACATGCAACGGCATCGGTCAGTTCAAGGATGAGAAAAGATGTACAATACATCAAAGTCTCACTACATAAACACCACAGACCATGTGTATATTTTGATTACTCCTATGGACCGACTCAACAATATACGGAAACAGAGAAGGATATGGACACAGGGACACAGGAATGGTGACAGACTGTGTCGTTGGTTGGTCTTGCATCAACTCGTCAGGAGGCTGAACCCTCGGCAGTCTGATGCAGAATGCCTATATTGATGTTTTGAGTCATGATCTCCTTTAGCCCCCGTTGTAAATGGATGGACAGCTGGTAATATCACAAGCAGCAAAGCAAGAGCAAAGTGAAACAGTTTTCACCTTTGGCAGTAGCCGATGCAGATCCCAGGGGTCGATCCCTTGACCTCAGCTTACCTGTGTACAGTATCTGTACAGTTCCCTGGAGTTGAACCCGTGACCTGCACGATAGCCAGTGGTAAGTAGGTCACCGTAGGTTGTAGGCTGTAGGAAGATTCGAACTGTAGACCTGTAGGGTAGGAGTCCAAGTAGAGTCCAGAAGCCCAGC